GAAAATACCATTGTGTAACTCAGCTCCTTTTTTTTTTGAATTGGACTCTCACTCTGTCAACCCAGGCTGGAGTGCAGTGGCACGCTCAAGGCCACCACAGCCTCGACCTGCTGGGCTCAGGCGATCCTTCCGCCTTAGCTTTCCACGTAGCTACAATAAATCAAAAAATTAGCCAGGTGTGTGGTGCATGTCTGTGGTTCCAGCTACTTGGAAGGCAGAGGAGGAAGGATCGTCTGAGACCATCCGGTGAAAGCTGCAGTGGTCGTGAGCGTGCTACTTCAACCTGGGCAACACAGTGAGACTCTGACTAAAAGAAGAATAAAAAAATAAAAAGTAAATTAGCCAGGCGTGGTGGTACATGCCTGTAGTCCCAACTACTTGAAAAGCTGAAGCAAGAGAACTGCTTAAGTCATCACATTACTGTACTCCAGTCTGGACAAAAGAGAGTGACTTCAATTTTTATTTTTTTTGACTTAGAGTCTCACTCTTGTCACCCAGGCTGGAATACAGGGGCACGCTCACAGCCATCGCAGCCTTGACCTGCTGGGCTCAGATGATCCTTCCACCTCAGCCTTCCAAGTACTAGAACCACAGGTGCGTGCCACGACACCCAGCTAATCTATTATTTATTGTAGAGACGAAGTCTCATCAAGTTGCCCAGGCTGGTCTCGAACTCCTGGGCTCAGGCAATCTTCTCGCCGCTGCCTCCCCAAGTGTTGGGATTACAGATGTGAGCCACCACACCCAGTCGAGACTCTAACTCTTAAAAAAAAAAAGTTATTAGAAGAAAAACAAAACAAAACAAGAATAGGGTATAGTAAGAAATAAGAAATGAAGAAATTTAGAGTACTGGAGTTAAAAAGAAACAAAGCTATTTTTTTCTTTTAAATTTTTCTTGGAAGAGTGCCTAATCCTTAAAAAAATTTGGAACAGTTCACTACAATAAAATATAAAACAGGAAAGTGGCAAAAAACAAATAATAGTAAGTAGAAATCATGATTACAATAAATACAAAAAAGAAAATAGCAAAATACAAACAAGAATTGAAAATCAGACTAGGGCAAATATAAATAAACAAATATAATGTTAACTGTCTTAGAAGCCAGAGCAAAATAAGTTTAGTTATAAAAAAGGCTAATTTTCTTTTCTTTGTGTCATCATGCTTGGTGGCACAAAGAATCTCATTACATAGGGTCTGATTTCCCTTATACTCTGAACTAGTGCTTCTCCAAGAATCTTGAATAAGTGTAAGTCCAGCTCAAAAATCAAAGTTTGGGCCAGGAGTGGTGGCTTATGCCTGTAATCCCAGCACTTTGGGAGGTGGAGACGAGAGGACTGCCAGAGTCCAGGGGTTCAAGACCAGCCTGGGCAACTTGGTGAAACCTCATCTCTACAATCATTAAAAAATTAGCCAGGTTTGGTGGCATGCACCTGTAGTTCCAGCTATTTGGAAGGCTGAGGCAGAAGGATCGCCTTTGAGCCCAGCAGGTCAAGGCTGCCATGGCCATGAGTGTGCCACTGCACTCCAGCTTGGGCGACAGAGTGAGACTCCAACTCAAAAAAAAAAATCTGTTAGTAATTAATGGACATGCAGCAGTAGGAACCATTCTCATCCCTTCCATCTTTACCTCATATTGCTGCATTAACTGCACCATGGAGTCTCCCACAAATAGTACATCAGGTTCTTTGTCTTTACAGTCCAGGACAAATCTGTTGTGCTGGTTTGAAGAAAGAAAAATTAGAAACTGCCATTTCTTTCCCTGTGAGATATCTTGCCCTAGAAAGAACAGGTACCCAGACAGTTACTGTTGTTAAGCAGTTTTTTTAGTCTATCCCTAAAACTTACTCCTCTCATTCTGCAATTAACTGCTAGAACTTTCTTCCCTGTTACCATACTGATCACTTTAGCATGCTCAAGAAAAACAGAACAGAATACTACTGAAACCAGAATCAAAAATACATTTAATATGCTTTTAAAAAGTTATCTTTTCCTCAAACTTTTAAGAAAATTTCAGATATACAGAAAAGCTGAAACAGTACCACAAACACCTATACATCCTCCACCTAAATTCAACATCCAATAACATTTTTCCATATTTGCTTTATCTGTATGTAAGTGTTTGCCAAACCGTTTGAAGATGCAAACATTATAATTCTTGACCCCTAAATATTTCAGCACATATCTCCTAAAAGTAAGGACATTTTCCTATAAAACCACAAACTATTATCACAACTAAGAAAATTGGAACCAAAGGCAAGCGCCACACTGCTCAGCTAATTTTATTTATTTATTGTAGAGACGAGGTCTCGCCATGTTGCTCAGACTCATCTCGAACCCCTGAACTTAGGCAATTCTCTCACCTATGCCTCCCAAAATGCTGGGATCATAGGCGTGAGCCACCGCGCCCAGCATGAATCCAACCTCATAAGATTTTTTATTTTTATTTTTTGAGTTGGAATCTCACTCTGTTACCCAGGCTAGAGTGCGATGGCACGCTCATGGTCAGTGCAGCCTCAACCTGCGGGGATCAGGTGATCCTTCTGCCTTAGCCTTCCAAGTAGCTGTAACCACAGGTATGCACCACCATACCCAGTTAATATTTTGATTTATTGTAGGATGAGGGCTCGCCATATTGCTCAGGCTGGTCTCGAACCCCTGAGCTCAGGCAATCCTCTCACCCCTGCCTCCCAAAGTGCTGGGATTATAGGCATGAGTCACCGCATATGGCAGTCAATCTTTCCAATTGCTTCAAGAGTTGTTAATATCTATTTTTTGAATAGATATTCCAATCAGGAGCTAAGGATTTTATTCGAATTTATTTATTTACTTTTAAGTATGTATTTTTTTGGCCAGGCCCACGCCTGTAATCCCAGCACTTTGGGCAGCAGAGGCGAGAGGATTGACTGAGTCCAGGGATTCGAAACAAGCCTGGCCAACTTGGCGAGACCTTGTCTCTACAATAAATCAAAAAAATTAGCCAGGCGTGGTGATGAATGTCTGTGGTTCCAGCTACTTGGAAGGCTGAGGTGGAAGGATCACCTGAGCTCAGCAGGTCTAAGGTGCGGTGTCCATGAACGTGCCACTACACTCAAATCTGGTCGACAGAGTGAGACTCCTACTCAAAATAATAATAATTAAAAAATAACAGGCCAGGCGTGGTAGCTCAAGTCGGTAATCCCAGAACTTTAGGAGGCCAAGGCAAGAAGATCACCTGAGCCTGCAGGTTCAAGACCAGCCTGGGCAACATGGTGATACTTTATCTCTATAATAAATCAAGAAATTAGCTGAGTGTGATAGCACATGCCTGTAGTTCCAGCTACTTGGAAGGCTGAGGCAGAAGGATCACTGGGGCCCAGCAGGTCGAGGCTGCAGTGGCCTTGCACGTGCCACTGTACTCTTGCCTGGGCGACAGAGTGAGACTCCAACTAAAAAAAAATAATAATAAATTTTTTAGTCTAATCTATGTTTTTAGCCAGTGATCACCCAGTCCTAGAATGCCTCTCTCTTCTAAAGGTACAAGACACTTTTAAAAATGGATTTTACCCATCAATGCCAAAAGAGTTTCAACTTTTATATTCATCCCTAAAACAAATTTATACAATGCTTTTAAGCAATAGGCCTGTAATCTGGTTCTAGAGAAGGGTTTGAATGTTGTTTCTCTTTGTTTTTTTCAGAGACAGGGTCTTGCTATGTTGCCCAGACTGGACTTGAACTCCTGGACTCACATGATTCTCCCGCAATAGCCAACCCAGCTTCCTGAATCACTGGGTGCACCACCATGGGTACACCACCATGCCCAGTCTTCAAATGCTGTTTCTTTTTCTCAAAGTCTACATTAAACATTTTTTCCCATAGGAATTAAAAGTGACAAAAATACTTTTGGAAATAATTTGACAGATTATTAAAACAATTTCTCTCTTAATGTATTAAAGTAGTTGCAATAAATTTGGAAAAATAGAAAAGACTAAAACAAAACATTTCTAATCCTACCTTAACCCAGTAACTATTAGCATTTTTGGGTATTTTCCTCTTGTTCTTTTTACATGTCCTTCCCCAATCTTAAATGCCTACATTCAAATTCTAGCTTATCTACTTTCTAGACCAGTGACCTTAAGCAAGTACATAATCTGCATCTTGGTTTGAACATCTGCTGGTACCTCCATTCTAGAGTTAAAATAAGAGTTCTATGAAACAGGCCCAACTATTGTCTGGTATACAGTAGGTACTCAATAAGTGACAGTTTGTATTTAACATCAATCATACTGGAAGCATTTTTCTATATAGCAACTTGAGTTTCATAACCAAAAGTCTTTTAGTTTTTATTTTTTGAGTTGGAGTCTCACTCTGTCGCCCAGGCTGGAGTGCAGTGGCATGCTCACGGCCACCGCAGCCTCGACCTGCTGGGCTCCAGTGATCCTTCCTCCTCAGCCTTCCGAGTACCTGGAGCTACAGGCGCGCGCTACCACGCCCGGCTAATTTTTGATTTATTGTAGAGATGAGATCTCGCCAAGTTGCCCAGGTGGGTCTCAAACCCGTGGGCTCAGGCAATCCACTCACCTCAGCCTCCCAAAGGCACAGGATTACAGGCTGAACCACTGAGCTCGGCTTACACATGCTTTTTTATGGCTATATAATATTTCATGTATGAATGATCCACAGTTTATAAAACATTTCCTCATCCCCAAATTATTTTGAAGCAAATTGAGGGTATATAATCTCATGTATAAATATTTCAGTCTATAAATCTTAAAAGATTTAAAAATATATATATAAACCCAATTTGACTTCAGAAAAAGTTAACATTAATTCTTTAATAGTAACAACCAGTGTCCAAATTCAATGTCTCAAAAAAATTTTTTTTCTGCTCTGTGGTTTTTTTAAAGGAAAAAAACAAAACAGAATCCAAACAGTTTGGCTCTTAATCCTTTTTAATCTATAGCTTCCCTCTCCCTCTGCTACCACTTCCTACATTTATTTTTTGGAGAATACAATTGTTTGACTGGTAGAATCTCCCATAGTCTAGATTTTGCTAATTGCAGTCCTGTGGTAGTGGTGAATATGTTCATCTGTTCCACGTATTTCCCGAAAAGTGACAGTTTAGATAAGAGTTCCATATTTTGGCAATACTTCAAAGGTATGTTTATTAATTACAGACAGGGTCTTGCTTTCTTACCCAGGTTGGTCTCAAACTCCAGGCTTCAAACAATCCTTCTGCTTTAGCCTCCCAAAGTGCTGGGATTATAGGTGCAAGCCACCATGTCCAGCTCAAAGGCGGTATTGAGTATCACTTCAATACTTATTTTAATCATAACTTTTAAATTTTTCTTTTTTAAAAAATTTACTTTGAAATAATTTTAAATCTACAGAAGAGTTGCAAAAATAGAGTATTGCCTATGGCATTTACTCAGTTTCCTCCAATATTAACATCGTATAAAAACATGGACCATTTACTGAAATTAAGAAATTAACACTGGTAAATACTGTCCATTAAACTAGAGTTTATTCACTCTCATCGATTTTCCCCCTAATGTCCTTTTTCTGTCCCAAGAATCAATTCGGGATCCTATGTTGCATTTAGTCCTCATGTCTTCTTAGTTTCTTCCAATCTGGGACAGTTTCTTGCTCTTTCCTTGTCATTTATGACCTTGACATTTCTGATGAGTAGTAGTCAGGTGCTACGTAAAATGTCCCTCAATTTGGGCTTGTCTGATTTTTTTTTTCCAGTCAGGGTTTCACTCTGCTGGCCAGGTTGGAGTGCAGCGAGATGATCACGGCTCACCGCAGCCTCCAACGCCTGTGTTCAAGCGACACTCCTACATCAACTCCCTGAACAGCTGGGACTACAGGTGTGTATCACCATGATTGGCTAATATTTTTCACTTTTTGTAGAGATGAGGTTTCACTATGCTGCCCAGCTGGGTCTCAAACTCCTAGCCTCAAGTGATACTCCCACCTCAGCCTCCCAAAGTGCTGGGATTATAAGTGTGAGCCACTGTATATGGCCTGCCTGATACTTTTTCATAAAAAGACTGAGGTTATGAATTTTTGAAAGACTACCACAGAGTTGATGCACCCTTCTTGTTGTACCATATCAGGAGGTACATGAAATCAACATGACTTATTACTCATGATGTGAATACTGATCACCTGCTTAAGACTGATCATTTGCCAGGCTTCTCCACTATAGTTATAATTTTTCCTTTCCATATTCTACTGGCTTTTTTTTTTTTTTGAGTTGGAGTCTCACTCTGTCGCCCAGACTGGAGTGCAGTGGCCGCTCCCGGCCACCGCAACCTCGACTTGTTGGGCTCCGGAGATCCTTTTGCCTCAGCCTTCTGAGTAGCTGGAACTACAGGCATGTGCTACCACACCCAGCTGATTTTTTGATTTATTGTAGAGATGAGGTCTCGCTGCCCAGTCGGGTCTCGAACCCGAGGGCTCAGGCAATCCACTCACCTCAGCTTCCCAAAGGCACGGGATTGCAGGCTGAGCCACCGAGCCCGGCGGCTTTTTTTTTTAACTTGTTTGTTTTTTTTGAGGTAGGGTCTCAATCTGTCATTCAGGCTGGAGCTCAGGTGATCCTTCCATCTCAGCTACCAAATAGCTGGAACTACAGGTACATACCACCATGCCCAGCTAATTTTTTTATCTTTTGTAGAAACAAGGTTTCATATGTTGCCTAAGCTGGTCTTGAATTCCTGGGCTCAAGCAATCCTC